CTGAGCATGATCGCTAATATAGAAGCTGTTCCACCACCCAAACTGTGACCAACTATCACAAGTTTATATTCCTACAGACAGAAAGAGAAGATTGAAACATAGACCGACACAGAAAAAGCTTTGTGTAATTTTTCTGGCAAACCAAATTATTTGGAAGGTAACTTACTGGAACAATTGTGAAAGCCTGGTTTAAAATTCCATCATTTATTAGCTTTCGATAGATGTAATTTGCAGCTTGAGTTATTCCCTACAAGACAACATTTAAAGTTAGAAGAGAAGGGTACATCTAATCTGAAGTGTGATGTACGTATACTTTAAACACAACACCATCACAGAACAACTTTCTGTTTGCAAAGCTGGTCTTCTCTTTTAACATGCTCCTGACAGAGGTCTAGTTATAACCGAGTAGGTCTTGTACATAATCATTAAAAAGTTCTTGGAATGTTTAATAAGGACATAAAGTCTGACAAGAGGATTACAAATTCTACCTTGCAGTTCCAGAAGCAGTATTTGATGCAACAACCAAGTCACTGAAATAATTTGTGCAATCCATCTTACAAGGAGAATACTCTTCTGTTTAACTAAAGGATCCCCGGTGTTTATAGTATTCTTACTGCTGAGATGATTTATAAACAGCTACAGACTGCACACACCTTATGCACAAAGCCATTCTCTAGAACATCCTCCAGTGTCAAGTCTTCACAATCTGCTGACAGATCAGTGAGAATGTCCTGTGAACAAGACAGCTTTTGTCAGACGTCTCTGCAGGGCTTCATGGCTCATGGGTCGCACTCTGCTACTCAACATTGTCACAGGGACATCAACAAGCTGACTTCCAAGTGTGCAAGCAACAAACCACAACCCACCATAAACCACCACCCAAGCCAATATATAGAGCAATCACGGTTCTGATTTCAGCAACTATTTCCGAGCTGCAACCACACACATTACGAATGCACCTCCACTCACTGTGAAAAGGAATTACCGCTGCCCGCCCGCCACGCTCTCTTCCAGTAGTACAGGGAATATTACCCATCCAAGGACAGGAGGGCTTACAACTTAAGCCTGGAAGACTCCTACCTGTGAGTGAGTTATTTTTACATGTGCCAGCGTAACACAATTTCCTCTAGATACTAGGAGTTCACTCATTTCTATAAAGCTAATTATTTCTATCAGATGGATGATACCTCAAAAGACAAGGTTCCTCTCACTGCAACCACAATAGCTTCTTTTTTGTGATCCAAAGCAACAAAAAATGGAATCTCATAGATCTGGAGGGGAAAAATGTAATCAGTAAAGACACCAACTTTTTATAAGAGTAAGCATTTGTTCTCACCTTCCGAAAACTCTATTATTGAGCTCTCTATTGTATTATGGAAAGAAGCTGAATTATTTTATTATCAAGTTACTGTAAGTGCCTTTTTTGCAATACTGAGACAGATTTATGTCAATGGCTTTGTGGCTGTTCCTTTAGATTAGAAAAAAAAAAATCAGAACTGAATGTTTCAGGACCTGTTTTCATTTGGCTTTGCATCTTGCAGTTACAAATGCTGAAGGCAAAGTAGAAACTTCACCCCTTGCTTTCACTGAATTAATCACTAAGTTTTTTTGCTGAATGCCTGTCCAGATTGTTTACCTTGTTATGAAAACTGATATGAATGAAGTCTCTGTACTGCAGTCCTGTTATTTTTAGGATGGATCCAAAGTGAAAGTTATGACGATCACTGCCAGTTATATCAGAATCTGTTGGTCTATTTCCGCAACTAACAAACACAGAAGAGAAAAACTTTCATGTTCAAATTTTTTAGGTTTCCTTTCAAGGAATCAAACTCAGTGACATTTGCAGAAGGATTTCTGCCAGGAATCAAAAGCTCTTTTTTTTTTAAATTTTTTTTTTTTCCCCAGTAGTACCAGTAGTCTGATACAAGATGTTACCTCTGCCCACAAAGCTGGTTTGAACATTTTCAGTTCAAGGACTGGCAAATACATCATCGCTACAGGACTATCAGTAGAGCAAACAATGCAGTAGAAAAGAATACTTATAGACTACAGGCCAAGGACAGAAAATACAAATAAGCAAAAAGGAAATTCAAAGCAAATTCTGTACAGCAAGCTTATCTCATGTTTTATCCATTGCATTATGCGATTTCCCCCCCCCCCCCAAGTAATTTATATTTCAGTAGGTTAAATAATTTCATGTTACTAATTAAGAAAATCACGGTTACAGTCACAAATGTCAGTGGTCATTTAAATATACAGTAATCCTACAGAGCATTACGCATACTTCAATACTGACTGTAAACATTTTTTTGAGTAAAGGGGGTAAGGGAATAAAATGGAGGCTGGAGGGACAAGTAACTTTTGCTAATTCCTTTAAGGCAGGGAAAACTGTTGAGACACTTTTATTTCTATACATACGTTTGTGCCCAAAAGGTAGCTCTAAAAAGCCTCATTTTAAAACATGTTTGGTTTAATTCCAATTCTTCCTTTGTCATATTGCTAAATGAATTTTATTTATCTCAATCACAAACTTTTCTTAAGAAACAAAAGCTATTCTGTTTCTGAGGGTGGAAAGATGTTGGAATTTTGTTTCTACTTTGACGTTTGAATTTGTGAAAGATAACTCTACCAGTCAAGCTCATGTACTCCCAAGAGTGATATAATTTAATGCAACAAAAATACTGCTATTGAAACTATTCTATTTCTGCTAACGTTAGTTAAATAAAAGGAAGCTATGTGTTTTTAAGCTCTTGATCGAACCTACCAGTCACCATTGAGCTTACAAAGTGCAGTAAATGGGTTGGTGTATATGTAGTAGGGCCAGCCATAAGCAGCTGCAGCAAACAGCATATAGTGAGCAGCATTCTCCAGTTCGATATCCAAATCATCTGCCTGAAAGGACACAGGGACAGAAAAGGAAGGAGAGGGAGGAAGAAAGGTGTGTGAGGCAGCCCCAGAACAAAACCTGAACACAGATTAGTGAAAATCAAGGCATGATAAAATACACGCTATCCAAAAGGAAAACCTCAAGGTCTAAGAGGAACTAAAAATAGCCACTCATATTCCAGGAAAAAGTCTGTGTTTATTTATATAGCTATACAGCTCAATTTAACGAGAGCTTTTCAAGATTCTTGGTTTCTTCCAATACTTATACGCTGATAAGCTCAATACCGAAACCAACATTCACTCCAAATATGTTGCTTAAGGATGTCAAAGGAATGGCTAAAGACACTGTAGCAGATCTCTCCGGTAAGGACTTTTAAAGCACGACCCCATCATATTGGCTAGATTCAAAAGGAATTTGATCGAAACGCATTGGTTGAAGTAGAATTACATACTTCTGTGAAACACAGACCAAAAAAAGGTAAAATCATTTACAAAGGCATTTTACCATAGAAGACTAGCAACAATCAATTAACAAACTGTAACCCATCATCTGCAAGCATTTAAAAGATGCTATTTTTGCTTCTTACCTTGTCTGGATATTTGCAGCAGACATAATTTAAACAGACCACAATACTAAAAGACTAGCTTTTCAGTTCTATGCAAATAGTACTAAATATTAATTTTCTCTCTGTTCCCTTTCTCTCCCAGCTCTTCAACAATGATCAAATGTCCTAAACGGTTCCTTTTTGCACTTAATTCCCCATTCATGTAAGCTCTATTTATGCAAAAGCAGACAAATGTTTTGACTGCAAACTCATCAAGATGTTTTCATGGCATTTATTAATAATTCAAATAGTTGTGAATTTTTATAGTAGTGTTGAATTTTGTTAAAAAAACCAAACCAAAACACCCTTGCACAAAGAACTGCATTTCAGTTTGATCTGGTGCCATCTCCTAGAGTAATTGCACCAGAGGCTGCAACAACCCTATCTTACCACAAGAGATGATGGAGAATGACACAGGACTTCTTCAGGCTCTTTTGGGCAACTTTCCATTTTATCTTGCTCTTGATGGAGCAGAGTCAAACCAGCTGCTATGTCACTTGGCACCAGATCAGTGTCCTGTACAAAGAAGTGAAAGAGCGCTTAAAACCATCCCGCACCTCAACATGGCAAAACTATCTCATAAGAAAATGCACATGGAATTGTATTTTTTCAGTTTATATAAATACATTTTTCACTCAGAGACAATGTGCAGTGGAGAAACAGGTCACAGCAGCATCTAACCTCCCACCCCTTTTGTACATATTGAATGTTTTCTTCAGTAAGACCGGTGACAATTCTACACATGAATTTCATCACTTAACAAAACACCCAACAGAGGACCCGCTCAACCATATAGCAAATAATGATCCAGATATTATTGATCACTCCTCTATACTGAGAACAACTAAGAAAGATTTTACACAGGAGAAGGCTGAAGCATTTTTATTCATCTGGGGCAGTCATCTCTCCATATGACTTACACCCTTTACCCTATAAACCACCGAGTAGGCTGTAGCTATAAATCAGCATGCCCAAGTACCGCTTAATAAACAAGAACTACTAGTCTTGAAATCATGAACAGATTTCAAAGTTAACACTGAACTATGACTGCCCAAGCAGTAGGTGACATAAATTTGAGCTAAATCAAGACTATGCAGACTCCGATTTGGCAGACGCTCTCTGTTTCCAAAAAGCAACTTCCAGCATGTGCACACTCTAGTCTGGTATGTGCTCAGAACTGGCTCAGAATGGGAAGACTGCCTTAACATGCTGTGGGGCTCATTTTTTTAATAGTCAGAAGTAGTCCGATTCTTTGCTACAGGCATGACTCCTTACTCATCGTCAGTGGGAAAAATGCCTCGATCTTCACACATTGAGGAAAAGAAACTCATCCTTGTTCTCCTGACTAGATACTCACCTAAGGAGAACGAATACTGTTTTCTCACAGCCCTTCACGCTTGTGAAGGGAGAGAAACCTTTGTTAAAGGGAGGGAAAAATCAGTGTTGTATACCTTGTATGAGAATCACCTTTAATTTTGAAATTGGCATATTCAAAACCTGATTTCAAGGCACAGGGTAGCAAGGACCTCTGGCTGAACAAAGGTACATGTGTGTTGCAATGTCTGCAAATTCATAGTCAAAACAGAACATAAAAAAAAGCTTTCCATCTTACTGAAAAGTAGGTGCGGAAAAGCTCTGCGATACTTGTAAAAGCCACTCGATGGTCATCATCTTGCACAATACAACAACACAGTAACCTGATTCTTTTTTCCCAGACTCTGGTGGCAGTGTTCTTCACGTTATACAGCAATTGCCCTGACTGACTGCTTTCCAGGTTCCGATTTACAGTATCGGTGAGGTAAAACGTCTTTTTCCCCCCAAGTGGATCAAAGACGATTACAACTCCAATGATGGTAAAGATGATGATAACCCAGCTGGAAAACAGAAGGAAGTGGGATAAAAAGACCGTGAAACCAGATACTTCTGACAAGTATGCAAGAAAACACAACTATAGATCTTGACAGACAGAAAACAAAGTTAGGTATGAAATACTGTATGAACACCATCTGTTACTGTCTTAACAGTGCATGTTTTGTTACCGGGCTTTCAATCCAGTAGGCACAAGAACAAGGCTGTCAGCTCGTTTCACATAGGGCACCAAGCTCAAAATCACAGGCCTCTGCTTTGGAAATAGCAACCCAGAGGTGTGAAGGCTCCACTTTTCACTACTAGTTAAGTGATCTAGTTACTGCCCTCTTCACATTTATCCAGTTTTCTACATTCCCATCTATCCCTCCTACCTTTTCTGATCTTCACCTCCTTTCCTTCACTCTAGCACTTGCTCTCTCAAGGCAAGTAGCTCAAGCTTGTTTAGGGAAGGATACCAACTCATTCTTACTGTCTAGACTTAAAAGTTCTTCTCCTTTCACAATGAAAACCCTTCTACGACAAACCACAACAATTTATAAGAAATATCAAAGTCTCCAACTGCTGGAAAAGCCTTCAATAAACACATGCAAAAACCACGTAAGCAGTATTTTCCATTTCACGTACACTATCAAGCTTAGATCTGAGGGAGGCACCTTTACCTTGCAATAACTGTCCCAATGATGACATTTATCACAGTCTTCTCGCAGTGCACGCTGCTGTCTGACACCCATACAGCTCCTACAACAGCCCAGATGAATTCAGGCAAATAGAGAAGTAGGCGAGTATAAAGTAGCTTGGGAAGTGATTTTCTTGGGCCTGGATTAGAAATTGTTCCTGAAATTACGGGGAGAATTTAAAACAAGAACTGTTTATGAATGCATCTTAAGTACATAAAATCCTACCTGGATATATGAACTTTCTGAGCTTTACAAAAAGTAAGAAACTTAATTGAAATTACAAAGTATTTTTATACTAATGGAAAGCTATCACTGAAGCTGAGAAGAGAAAAACAACAATGGGTTTATAGCCGCGATTCTTAGAACCTACTCTACTGATACCCAAAATCACTCTCTATTCAGAGACAGTTCTGCAGTGAACTTGAGGCAGTAGTGCCGCGCCCAGCATAAGCCAAAGTGGCATACCGGAGCGTTGGCTCACCTACAGTTCCTTATGACTTTTGGTGCCTGCTTTTATTATTATTCTGTTTAGCTTTTAGTTGGCTGAATATTTCATTTTTAGATGCTACTTTGCTGGGCTACAATGAAGTTCTGTTTACTGAGTCACTAAATAATAAATTCATTCACATTTTTATTTAGGAGAACAAAAGTAGGACCATTACCAGGACAAATACTTCTTAGACTATTTTCTGTATCGTTAACTTACTAATAACCTCTTCCTTTTAGCACTCTTAGGCAATAAAAAAGGGAGTAATTTTTGGCCAGCTCAGCTCCTTAAACCAGTTTGTTGATCGCAGGGTAATGGCGTGGTTGTGTGTGTGTGCTCAGGTGTAGGCAGGATGATTTGTAAAGGCTTAAAACACTGCAGAACAAAAACAACTTTGGAAACTATTTTCCAATTGCAAAGCTGTGGTTCACATCCAGTGACACAGCTGTTTAAAAAGCCCTTGATCAGTGGTCGCTTATTCCCATTCCTGGGTTGTAGCCTGTTCTGCAGCAGCATGGTTGCTTTCACAGACACAATCAGATGGAACTGTGGTTCCTAAAAACAACTTCTTCCCTTTCCCAGCACCACAACCCAGAATATGAGTTCTCCAGTCAGGTTCACCGCTGGCATCACTAACGCCCACACCAGTACAGCGTAAGGAGTGGTGCAAGAACCACTGCTCCCAAACCCACACGTTATAACCACAGTCCAAGACATCTCACCACTAATTTTCTTGGAAATCCAGCCTCAGAATTCTTCCATTTCTCAGTTACAATAGCCTTGTAGCTGTACTTTTATACCAAGTGAGGCTCTTTTCTCTCTGCTGTTTACAGTTACATCTCTCACCTCCTCAACTTTGATATAAATATAAATAGCATAACTTGGCTAATCTTCCTTTCCCTCCTCTGGAAACTAGGAAAACCAGTGGTTAGATTCAAGGCCAGGATTATCATCCACATCTCTGCTCTGTCATACTTTCTCTTCACACACTCTTTATGCTTCTTTCCACTTAAATAATTTAAATACTCTTTTATTTACAGCGTGTTGAGAGAACCACTATATTAGAAATTGTGGGGTCTCATCTATTACTCCAAAGACCCCACACATATTTCAAATTAATCTTCCTAGCGTTACTTGGACAATGAGGTGCCTCACCAGGAAAAAAGCTTTCCTAGTATTTTTTAACCCCAAATGAAGCGTTTCTACAAATGACTAGAAGTTGCATTGGGGTCCTTACTTCTGTTTAGCCATTAACTTCAAGCTGCAAGTCCTGTTCTATTTCACAGCGCTTACTGTGTTAGTTTTACTACGACATTTATATGGATCATATTCCTATGTGTTTTTTCTCCCAAGCAACCCACTGCAGCTTATGAACTTTCGCAAGGTATGACTAAATCTGCTTATGCAAGGCAAAGCTAACATGATACTTCAGATGAGAAATTGATTTTGGATAAATTCCCCTAAATTCCTGTCAGAGAGGTTGAACGGTGTTCCATTCGAGTCATGCATTAACAGTGAATGTAGAGCAAGTTTTCAAGATGCTCTGATGGCAATGAAAATATCACTGTTAGCTGCACCAAGCTATTGTGTCCATTTATTATTGTAGATTCCTGACTAACAGAGGTAATACCATTAAAGCAAATACATTAACGCTGACAGACAGTTTCTCAAGTTTGACTACCATTACAGCACTTGAATTTTTTTGCATTGTTTTTTTAATGTCAACCCCAGATTAAAAAAAAAATATTACAATCCTACTAGATAAATGCAAAATATTATTATTAACTATTTACCTTGCATACTGATGTATACAAGAACAGATAACGCACATATTATAGAAGCCAGGAGAATGAGGAGGACAAGCAAGTAGGTGTGCAGTAATCCTCCCCCCGGACAGTTAAACTGCCCCTTGTGAACTGTGTAAAGAGCAAGAATTCCAATCCACCTACAGGAAAGTAAGATAACAAAAGTTATAGTTGGAAGGGAAAAGTGCATACTGCAAAGCGATCGCCTGATAAATAGCTTTCCTCTGAATGAAAGCACTCCACAAAGATTAATAGAGGGAGTTGTTATATAAGGAATCTGTCAGAATGAAATTACTGTAAGAATGCACAGCAGTAACTGCAACAAAGCCGCCTGCAGACCGAGCAACAGACTCCCCGTACGGTGCTACTCACTTCCACAGATGCCAAAGAACCTGGCTGATCTAAACAAAGGAATCATCACGTTAATTCTTGAAGTAACGAAACCACATCAGCACTAGCCAGCGATTACACACAACCAAGTCATTACGGTTCCGCGCGTACAGAAGACAGCGCGGTACTTATATCGCGCTGTGCGACGATGTGAGTCAAGGGGCTCCATCACGAAACCGCCGCCTTCCTCCCCCTCCACGCAGCGCCTCAGACGAAGGGGGCAACGCTACAGCTCCCGGCCGAGGGAGCG